CTGACATGATAACTAAATAAATACTCACCCTTGCCTCAAACGGGCTCCAGGATTTCCTATGGAATTATCTCTATAGCTAAACTATTTTCATTAACAGTTTGAAATTGCATTAAATGGCCAGTGTAGATGGGGCCTATGTCAAGGCATGACAATTCTTGAGCTATTATTTCAATACTTTTTTCTTTAATGTAAGCATTCTTAGGTCTAAGAGTTCATCTGCATTGCAGAATGAATGCAGTTTGACACCACTTTCACTATCATAGCTCAATGCTATGGAATCCTGGGAGCTGTAGTTTTTAAAAGGTCTTTGTCAAAGGTTGCTGGCGTTTCGCCAAACTACAACTCCCATGATCCCATAAGCATTGAGCCATGGCAATTAAAATGGTGTAAAACTGCATTCATTCTACAGTAGAGATGCCTCCTGGGTCTAAGGTTTATAATCCGAAATATGTTTAAGATACAAGTCAATCTACCTGCAAATATCTATAATATAATATCCTATCCTATCTGATTTGTCATTAATCCATTCCTTTGGGCTTCATGCAAATCTACCATTTGCCAAAATATACGATCCTGTGCTTTTATTGGGTTGCTGTGATTGTTCCAGGTTGTATGGCCATGTTCCAGAAGCATTCTCTCTTGACGTTTTGCCCACATCTATGGCAGGCATCCTCAGAGGTTGTGAAGTCTGTTGGAAACTAGGCAAGAGGGGTTCATATACCTGGAATGTTCAGGATGGGAGAAAGAACTCTTGTTTGTTGGAGGCGAGTGTGAATGACGTTGCAGTTGGCCATCTTGATTAGCACTGAATAGCCTACCGGCTGTTAGGAATTGTGGGACTTGAAGTCCAAGACACCTGGGGGGCCAAAGTTTGCCCATGTCTGTATTGTATTGTATTATATTATATTATATTATATTATATTATATTATATTATATTATTATACTATACTATACTATACTAGCCATCACCTACCATGTGTTGTGGCTCAGTCTGGTGTTCTGGAAAATAAAGTAATGAGAAAGTAATTTCTTTATGCTTGTGGATATGCTTGTGTTTCTTTGTCAGTGTTGATGTAGAGATTGTCTGGTTTGCCTACTCTGGAACATGTAATGTATAATTGTCCTTCTTTAGGGGTCCCTTTCAAATCTATGATACTATATCTGCCATATACATGTGTGTGTGTTTGAATAATATATATCTACCTACATCTATGGCTGGATAGCTCTTTGTCAGGAGGGCTTTGATTATGCTTTCTTGTCCTGGTGAAGGAAATTGGACTGGGTGACCTTAAGGCAGCAGTTCTCATCCTGGGAGTCTGGACCTCTGGGGGGGGGAGAGGGTGTCAGAGGGTCACCAAACCACCAGAAAGCACAGTATTTTTTGGAGGTCATGGGGGTTCTATGTGGGAAGTTTGGCCCAATTCTATTGTTGGTGAGATTCAGAATGCTCTTTGATAGTAGGTGAACTACTAGATAAATCCCAGTAACTACAACTCCCAAATGTCAAGGTTTATTTTCCCCAAACTCCATCTGTGTTTATATTTGGGCATATGGAGTATTCGTCCCAAGTTTGGTCTAGATCCTTGATTGTTTAAGTCCACAGTGCTCTCTGGATGTAGGTGAACTACAACTCCAAAATTCAAGGTCAAGGCCCACCACCAAACCCTTTCAGTATTTTCTGTTGGTCATGGGAGTCCTGTGTGCCAGGTTGGGTTTATATATCTGTGGAATGTTCAGGGTGGGATAAAGAACTCTTGTCTGTTGGAGGTGAGTGTGAATGATGTTGCGATTGGCTACCTTCAAATTATAGAATCCTAGAGTTGGAAGAGATCTCGTGGGTCATCCAGTCCAACCTCCTGCCAATAAGCAGGAAAATCGCATTCAAATCACTCCCGACAGATGCCCATCCAGCCTCTGTTTAAAAGCCCCCAAAGAAGGAGCCTCCACCACACTCCGGGGCAGAGAGTTCCACTGCTTGTGGAACAGCTCTAAGTCAGGATGTTCTTCCAAATGTTAAGATAGAATCTCATTCCTTGTAGTTTGAAGCCGTTCTTCCGCGTCCTAGTCTCCAGGGCAGCAGAAAACAAGCTTGTTCTCTCCTCCCTATGACTTCCTCTCACATATTTTATTTTTTATTTATTACATGTATTTGTATACTGCCTTTCTCAGCCCGCAGGTGACTCAATATGGTTTACAGGGTAAAATTCAATGTTTACAATAACATAAATACAATTAAAACATAACATCTAATAAAAACTAAACAGAATCAATACAATATAAATCCATAGTGTCTCCTTGTTAAAAACGTCCGGTCTCATTGTCTAGGTATTTCATTGTCCTATGTCAATTACTCTGCATTTACAAATGCTTGCTCAAAAAGCCATGTCTTGACTTTTTTCCAGAATGTTAAAAGGGAGGGGGGCGATCTAATATCTATAGGGAGGGCGTTCCATAGCAGAGGGGCCACCATCAAGAAGGCTCTGTCACTCTTCTCCACCAAACGTACCTGTGACAAAGGCAGTGACGAGAGCAGCCCCCCCCCCCCAAAACGTTCTTAAGGTCCTAGATTACATTTTATTTATATAGATTATAAAGTTCATAAGGGAGATTCATATTTATACATGGCTATCATGTCTCCTCTCAGCCTTCTCTTCTTCAGGCTAAACATACCCAGCTATTTAAGCCGCTCCTCATAGGGCACGTTCACCTTGATTAGCATTGAATAGCTTACCGGCTGTTAGGAATTGTGAGAGTTGAAGCCCAAAATATCTGGTGAATTTAAATTAAATTTGCCCATACCTTTATTATATTGTATTATAACTGTACTATAATATAATCTATATAAATAAAAATGTAATGTTGTAATGATGTAATGATGATGTTTTTAGCGTACTGAGTTGTACTATTTTAATATGTAATGATTTGTATCTGTTGTTCTTTCATATGATTGTATTTGATATGTGCTGTAAATCGACCTGAGTCCCTCGTCGAGGTTGAGAAGGCCGGTATAGAAAACCTCTAAATAAATAATAATAAATAATGTTTGTTTGTGGGATTAACATAACTTGAAAACCACTGGACGAATTGACACCAAATTTGGACACAATACAACTATCAGGCCAATGAGTGACCATCACTCATAAAAACACTGAAAAACACGGTGGAAGAGACATAAAGCCAAAAACCCCCACAAAAAACAATACAATGCATGCACAAAACCAAATAATAATAATAATAATAATAATAATCTTAATTTATACCCCGCCACCATCTCCCCAACGGGGACTCGGAGCACCTTACATGAGGCCAAGCCCGAACAACAAATTACAATACAATGAGATACAAATTGCAATAAAATAAACAACATAACAAACATTAACAACCTCAGATATGCAGATGACACCACTCTGATGGCCGAAAGCGAGGAGGAGCTGAGGAGCCTTCTAATCAAGGTGAAAGAAGAAAGCGCAAAAGCTGGGTTGCAGCTAAACCTCAAAAAAACCAAGATTATGGCAACAAGAATGATTGACAACTGGAAAATAGAGGGAGAAAATGTGGAGGCCGTGACAGACTTTGTATTTCTAGGCGCAAAGATTACTGCAGATGCAGACTGTGGCCAGGAAATCAGAAGACGCTTACTTCTTGGGAGGAGAGCAATGTCCATCTTGATAAAATAGTGAAGAGTAGAGACATCACACTGGAAACCAAGATCCGCATAGTTAAAGCAATGGTATTCCCCATCGTCACCTACGGATGTGAGAGCTGGACCTTAGGGAAGACTGAGCGAAGGAAGATAGATGCTTTTGAGCTGTGGTGTTGGAGGAAAGTTCTGAGAGTGCCTTGGACTGCGAGAAGATCCAACCAGTCCATCCTCCAGGAAATAAAGCCCGACTGCTCATTGGAGGGAAGGATACTAGAGACAAAGTTGAAGTACTTTGGCCACATCATGAGGAGGCAGCAAAGCCTAGAGAAGACAATTATGCTGGGGAAAGTGGAAGGCAAAAGGAAGAGGGGCCGACCAAGGGCAAGATGGATGGATGGCATCCTTGACTGGACTGGCCTTGAAGGAGCTGGGGGTGGTGACGGCCGACAGGGAGCTCTGGCGTGGGCTGGTCCATGAGGTCACGAAGAGTCAGAGACGACTGAATGAATGAACAACAACAAACATAGAAGTATAAAACATAGCATTATAACTAAAACTGCAGGACAAATCAACATAAATCCCACACCTAACCACCAAAAACAAATTCTATCCTCCCCCACTTACACACGTATCTAAATGAAGAAATATTCCTCCAACTGAATTATCGTGAGCATGGAACTATTTCAAAGTTTTGGAGTTCACATAATTTTAACTAAAACTATTAAAATTGGAGAATTTTTACAATAGAGTATAATCAAAATGTCTCCCACATGTTCAAACATGTTATAAAGTTTCCTCACAGTTACTGCTATGCTTAAAAACAACAGGCGTGCTTTCCCTAGCTATACTCACTTAAATGTGTGTATACACACAAAACACATATACACAGACTGGGCCACAGCAACGCGTGGCAGGAGACAGCTAGTATTGTAGAATATAATATAATATAATATAATATAATATAATATAATATAATATATTGTATAATATAATATATTGTATAATATAATATTGTATAATATAGTATAGTATAATATCGCATTGTCTTTGTGGGAGCCCATTGCCCACACTTTGTATACAAACACTTGGCACCCAGCCAAAATAGGCGGAGTTTGCATGTTTCTATTGTCTCAGCTGTGGGCACGTGACGTCACCGAACGCCGGGCCCTTCTTTGTTTACCATCCGGCCTTTCCTCACTCCGTCCAACGCTTTTAGAATCTTCGCCAGCGAGGAGGCGGGCAGAAGGGGGTGGCGCCTGTGCGTTCTCTTATTGGACGGCGGCGTCACGAGCCTCCTTCTGATTGGCTCACGTGGGCCCGTGGCGGAGGCGGGCGCTCCAAACAACACGCCCCGCCTCCGCCGCAGGCTCCCCTCGACCAATCAGGAGAGAGCTGTCTGTAACGGCTAAGGGGGTCCTCTCAGTCTGAGGTGGGCGCAGCAGCGGAGTGGGTCGCCTTATGATTCCCTCGCCGGCCTTTCCTTGAGGCGGAAGAGAGGCGACGGAAAAGGAGTAGCCGCGGGAAGGGGGAGGCAGGAGCATGGCGGCCTCGGCGTCGGAAAAAGGCAACAAGAAGAAGACGGAGAAGAAACTGGCCGCTCGGGAGGAGGCTAAGTTGCTGGCCAGCTTCATGGGCGTCATGAATGCCATGAGGAAGCAAGTAAGGGAAGGGGAAGGGGCTGGGAGGGCGAAGGAGG